CTATATATATATATATACATATATATATATATATATATACGCAAATAGAAAAACAATTACACGACAATAACGTACATGTTTCCATACCTATATCTGGAAGTGAAAGCCAATAGCTGAGTGTGTCTCGCCTCACCAATACTCCAGCGTTAAACAGCATTCTGTTCGAAGTTGTGAAGCACACAATATCTGTTAAATATATGTTGAAAGTTGAAGATCTCATATTGCCATATAGCATGAACGCACACACACTAATGATATATATACCAGAGCATATTGGTACTTACACGCTAGCATTTCTTTAGTATGTGTTCATGGAGTGTGTAGTATATAGTATAATTTTATACATAGTCAAGATGAATTTGTGATGTCTGCATCACACCAAATGATTCAGACTGCATATGACATGCAGCTCTGTGATCGATGGAGTATACACAAGCGTTTATGTCGCTTCTTGTAGGTAAGGTAGGTAAGCATGAGACAGTCACGGGGCGAGTACTCTACAGGTTTGATGTATTGTGTGTGATTGTAAAGATGTGCATACCTACATGAGATATGAGCATTATAGAGAGGCAAATACAGTAGATAAAACACACACGCAAGATAGTTGAGTATCGCCAACGCGGAAATAATACACATCCAACAGTCTATCTAAACATATATCTCTTATGAGCCACATTCGTTGGATATTGTTTTTTTAAAGATGAGAACTGGCACATGTAGTTTCAATATAGGAACAAGTTAACAACCCCCTTACAAAACCCGTCAATACATTACGGTATTCTCTAGGCACATTCGAGGAACCGTAACGCATGTTGAACCTAGCGGAGTACTCCCAGCAGCAAACAACAATTGGATAGCCATCCGAGAACATACGTTATATGATCCTCATTGAAGTTGTAGTCGACTTTGAGGGCGTTGGCCTGTATGCTGACATCGCGATGGTTGCCCATGACCTGCACAAGAAACCTTTCTAAACCACAACGCAGATGCAACGTTCAGTTGATAATATAATCAGACACAAACGCTTATAAAAGTATCTCGACGAAAATGGGCTTGCAAGTAGGCTCTCAAGGAATGATTCATGTATTACTGTTCGCAAATACATATCCAAACGCACACAGACAGTGATCGGTGTGCTACTCTTCACCCCCTCTTCACCCCAACTTCCCTTTTTGTGCAACAAAAACGAACCTGCAACTATAGTTTGATAACAAGTGATAGGAATACAGTGTGATATGGGCATCAAGCTTTCAACGCTCTGAAGGTCAATTCAAATGTGCGATTGTATTCCACGGTTACAGTCGGTAGAAGGCGTAACAAACCCTAAACCCTAAAACCGCAGGGATACACCGATAACCCAAACGCTAGCGCCTATATTGGGTAATCCATACACATAATGCATTCACGAGTATAGGTCGAGGCTGACCCGCTACACCTGTAGGGTACTGTGTGCACGTGGTCTTCAAACACGAGGCCGTCAACGACAGAATACGTCTAAAATGGTAAACAACCCCAGATGCGGCGAGTAGGTATATACGAAGATAACAGATTCTGTAGTACCGCAAACGGCAGGTCTTTTACTAGACAGGCGCAAAGGGGGACTACGCACATTGTTTTGTATACTATTAAACAGTCCTGGGGCTATATATATGCACTGTGTGAGGTAGAAATGGCGGTTGTTGGGGTAGTATTGCTGCAGCCCTACTGCCGCCGAAACTTTCCACCCTCGTACCACACGCAATTTAATTGGCATGGCATATATATATATATATAAGATCACTCCAGGCACGGTACAAACATGTGACTACTTCTCTGGCACTCACTGGTAAGTCATCCGTATGTGGTATGTTCGAACTCATACCTACCTACCACCGCCTTGAAGTTCTCCTCTTGGCCTTGGATTGACCCGAAAATGTGCTTAATCACATCGGGTTCCAGGACAACGGCCACCTCATCCGTCATGACTCCGAGTTTGAACAAGCGGACCTGTTTGGAAACAAACAGTTTTATAATGTCCTTGTCCACATCCGTCCGACTGGGCTGCACTGTGTACAACTGATGTTTGAGTACTATAGCCGGCGTCCTGATAAAGACAAAACATGTACAGTTCGGGACTACGAGTGAGCTCGTATGTGTATAGAGCCACCGCAATAACTAACTAGTTTTTACACTGCCGGTATATCGGCTATAAGGTGCGTCAATGATATGTGGGCATTGTACCCACAGGATGCTAAACAGATAAAGGGCGCTATGTGATGTATTGCATGTGAGGTACTATTGGCTATATTGTGTACAACTGAGCGTATGGGTGTTGTAGCTGTTGTTTTGATGAATATGACCCTGAAAAACCCGAGCAAATATATGGAGGAATCATCGGCTGTGATGTGAAAACTGTTGCATAGGTACTACAGCCTGTAACTGATAAAATAACCAAATACAAGCGATCTACAAGAAAATACATACCAGCCAGTAAACCGACTACGTTATGTAATAATAATAATAACAACTAGCAGTTCACACAGTAGGAGGCACCATCCATTCATAAGGGAGGAGTTACTCAAACGAACTAAGCTGTAAAGAGCCGTACGAAACAACAAACCCACTGTGGATATATATACAGCGGCGCACAAGGACAGCCATGTGATGCCGTGAAAACTTCCTTAATCTATACGCAAGAATATACATACAAAATAAATTGCGACCATATAGCCTACAACGAAGTGTGTGTGCTGGCGCGCATGGAAATAATGTTAATGCCGTCACGAGCGTCCTTACCGGTAATTCAGCTTTTCTAACGGAAACTTGTCCGCCAACTGTTTGATCGCATTGAGTGTATGTTTCTCAGCGCCCATGCGGAACGCACCACTACCCAACTCGGCTCTACGCACAATCGCACCCGCTTTGTCTGTGCGATATTGATAGATCGATGGAATTGGATAACAAATGTTCACGATATGAAATCAAACGGATGCACAGATATGTTTAGTTCCAAACGACAGTTAAAATACGTATAGCAATGTGCATATATATTTGTTACATGTATATGGAAACCAAAATTACCGTATACATATTTAAAATGTGCCTATGGATGATAGAAAACTAAATATCCGAATAAACGTACATACACGCACACACACGTATGCATCAATATTTAAACAAAAAAAACCTATATATGTACGCGAAATATCCAAGCATATATATATCATGAATACACGCACATGCATGTACACTCACAGAAATATATATATATATATATATATATATATAAAATATTTATATATATAATTTTATATATATATATATAT